GTGTCTTATGTGCTGATGGTGCCAGGTTTTTTAAGAGTATTTGTTCAGAGGATGATAGAATGATTGTTTGCATGGCCTGTATAACTGGTGCAATGAATGGCAATTTAAACTAAATATTGGTGAATGTGTGGTTGCTAGATATGGGGGGAGAATGATAACGCTTTAAATAACGTTTATCGACTAAATGGAACATATTTAGATTCCAAAAAGAAATGAATGAGTTGGGAGTGACTTTTGATTGCGATCTAACATTCCAAAAGTATATTTATAGTAGTAAAAATAAATGCAATAGTTATTTAGGTCTGATTTCTCGACACTTTAATCCTGGTCATTTAACTTCAAATTTTTTTCTGTTATTATACAAATCTATTGTCAGATCTAGAATCGAATATGCATCCAGAGTGTGGGCTCCATGGACCAAAAAGTTGATTGAGGATGTCGAAAGAGTACAGGAGAGGGCAACAATAGATTGTTATTTTTGGTTGTGAGGAGTGCTAATGATAATGATGACAACATCATGGCGATGATAATGATGACAACATCATGGGAATGATAATGATGACAACATCTCAATTATGGGGATCATTTAAGATACTTAGATCTTCCGACTCTTAAGCATCGCCGATTGTGGGGAGATCTGATAACGGTCTTCATGTTAACTCGCGATGCGAAAATGCCGTCTTCTTATCCCAACTTGGTCAAAGCAAGAGATGATAGAACGAGAGGTCATCAATACAAAAATTCGACTCAAAAATTTAACAAGAACCTACGGAAGCACTGTTTTTGAAACAGTGTGATTGATATTGGAATGGTTTGAATCTTGAAGTGGCAAATGCTTGTGATGTTGTCCATTTAAAAAAAAAGTTAGACACTTGTTTAGAGATATATATATATATATATATATATATATATAGACTATATGGACTCAAGAATTGTTTGAGTAGATACTGTTTACTGATCTAAAATTTTGTCAATTTATATCACACGTTTACACAACTTGTCGGCTTGGATAACGCGTTTACTAAAACTTCAATTAAACTTTCGATCTGGTGATGATGGTTGGTAAAGGAAGATCTACGAAAAATTCTAATAGCGATGCTCTACGATGTGAAAAAGAATCAACAGATGTTCAGTGTGTTTGTTGTGGGATTTCGTTTGCTGTCGGCATGACTCCGGAATCGTTAGAACTATTGAAGGCATGTGATAACGTCAAATTTGTGTGTGATGAGTGCTTGAAGTCACCATCAATAAAGGATCAGATCATCAAAACAGTTGAGAGTGGAAAAGCTGAGATATGTGACAGGATAAACAGCTTAAGTAAAGAGATTAGATCAGAAATCGATGCAATCAAGGTAAAATTGGAAGCAAATGAAGGCAAAATGTCTGGATTGGATGTCCCTGGATCAAAGCTCTGTGATGAAATTTCGAACTTTAGAAATGAAATGACCAGATCATTTGCTAGCGTGGTCAGTTCTGAGGTTGTGAAAAGTGTCCAAATCATAAACGATGATGTAAAAAAAGTGCAAAAAACGTTAACCAATGTAATGGAATCGAAGGAACGAGAGGCAAATATAGTGGTTTTTCGACTGAGTGAAGGAACGGACGACAGAAACAGGGTTTGCAAGATAATCAGTCATCTGACCGGTGGTGTCTGCGGTGAAACAAACATAATAAAGTTGGTACGACTTGGTAAGAAAAATGATACGGTGGTAAGACCAATTTTGGTAAAGTTTGATGATGTCAAGGTGAAGGAACTCGTTTTCAAAAATGTTTTTAAAATGAAGTCAGTAGGCGATAATCTGTCTCATGTTGGTCTGAGTCATGATCTTACTGTTGAGCAAAGAGATGAACTTAAAAAATTGATGGACGACGCCAGACAGATGGAGAAAAACTCAACGGAGGGTTTTTTATACAGAGTGCGAGGAGACGTAGGAAAATGGAAAATAGTACATTTTCCTGCAAGGAAAGAGTCAAACTGATGAATGGACGACAAGGCCCTGGATATGAGTTATGCAGTTTGATCAAATGTGGTAGTCACGGTTTCCACAGTGGTGGTGATGATAACAGCAATTCTAATGAAAATTTCAATCTGGGTTTGTTAAATGTTAGATCAATTGCACGTAATGTTGACGGGATTTATGGACTAATTTGTGATGGATTGGATGTGTTAGTGTTGACTGAAACTTGGCATGGCTTGCCTGGGAACAACTCTGTCAGTGCTGCTATGCCACCGGGGTACTGTTACGTGGACTTTGTCAGGCAGCATGATCCTGGCCACGGTGGACTGGTCATATATTTCCGCAAAGAGTTTGGTTGCAGAAAGATAAATTTGCCTTCATTTGTAACGTTTGAAGTTGTCGCCATTAGATTAGTAATCAATAAAAATCAATTCATTCTTCTGGGTGTATACAGGCCTGGCTCGGCACAGATAACCGTTTTATTTTTTGATGAGTTGGTGTCAGTTCTAGAGCATATAACGATGTTAAATGCAAATATTTTACTGATGGGCGACTTTAATGTGCATATCGAAAGGAAAGATGATCCAAACACCATACGTTTATTTGAAATATTTGAGGTCTTTCAACTAGTTAATCATGTTAACGAGTCAACGCATTTACGAGGTGGGACATTGGATCTGGTTGTTAGCTCCGTTGATTTTCCTATTATTAGTACTACAGTCTTACCTCATGGAGTTTTTTCTGATCACAGTTTTATAACAGTTGAAACAATAATTGCTAAACCATGTCGTATCCCAACAAAAAGGTTTGTCAGATCATGGAAAAATATTGATGAGGATAGATTTGTTGAAGCTGTCTTAAATTCTCCCCTGTCTGGTTCTTGCCTCAGCAATGATGTTGATGATGAGCTAAAAATTTTTAATGAAGAGTTGAAGAGTATCATTGACAGGCTGGTACCCAAACGGGTGATCTTTGACAGAGGTGAGCGTGCGGCTCCATGGTTTGATGAAGATTGCTTGCGGGCCAAAAGATATTGCAGAAGG